TTCATCAGCAGCATTAAACACTTGGTGCGATTGGCCTCGATTGCCTTGCTTCCGAATAGTGCTAACAGTTTTTTTTTACAGTAAACTTTTATTCTTCAATAAAGGTAAGAAATACAGCTCAGGGAAAACAAAAGCTATCTTTGCAATAAAAGTACTTTTCAATTGCTAAATTTATAGAAATGACTAGCTAAAATAATTATTGACAAGGTAGATAACGCTACTTTCCGTGGCGTACAATGTAGCTAATTCTTCTATTTGTGCTTTTTTTTTAGGCGTAAGTCCACGTTGCATTTGCGAGGTAAGTATGTTATGACAGTGCCCCTCGTTTCTCCGGGGAAGTTTTGGACCACGTGGTCTGCAGTGAAATAAAAAAAGAAGCATCCCTTTGTCACATTATGTCAGCTATACCTATACCCGGTGATATTTTTTAATCTACTGGCTTCAGGAAAATTGGGGGCTTACTGTCATGTTGAAGCACCCTTCATGTGTGTCGTCCGACTCGGCGGACATTACATGGGTGAATAACCGTGGCAACATTTTTTTTAAGTAATTAAAATCCGTAAATTTACTTCTTTTAATTGCTGTTTCAGAGGCAGTCGTTATTAGGGCCTAACACAATCAAAACTATTCACGAAACAGACAAGGGGCTTTCAGATATTTATTTATCAAGTTTCGCACTTTTTTCCCTCGATTCAAGAACCACGCGCGGCAGGGGCGGGCAAAGTGGAGAGTGGCTTAGCGGTTTTGACATGGCATATCGGTGATGGCATGTTTGTTTGTGTTAGCGAGCACTTCTCATACTGGAGTTCTATGCATTATTTAATTTTCTAGTGAAGTTACAGCCCTCATACAGTGCTGTCGCATTCAGCGTGAACGAAGTAGCACACTTTTGACAGCGTGCTTTTGGTGGATGCTCCAGCATCATACTTCCAACGGTTCGACTGAAGGGAATACGTAAGAATAACATCCTGCGCTCTGTCCAGCGCGCTGTTTTTAATCAGGCGACAAAAGGCAGAGTTTTAGCTACGAATAACCCAAAACTCGTCACCTTTTCGCAAATTGTTTCAGTTGGGCTAGAGTTTATTCATAGCCCCTTTAAAATTGAAAATTCAACATGGTCAATTACACTGTCAATTAAAAAAGCTAATTAGACAACGTATTGAGCCGTTTATTTACTCATCTAATGTCCGCCGAGCCCCACAAATATTCTGTGAAAACGGCATCTGCCTATCTATCGCGTTTTTGTGTGCTGATGTTAAAAATCGCACTATATATATATATATATATATATATATATATATATATATATATATATATATCCGTTATTATAATTTGAGTACACCGACTGCAAGCACTGAAAGTAGACCTTTAGTATACTTAAGTGCACTTTCTGTATACTGATTTTGAACTACTTTTTTTCCGCGGGCACTACGATTCTACTACATGTACTAGTTTTGTACGGACGAGTATACTTTTAGTCCACCGCCATTTTTACTAGAAGTATACTTTAAGTACACTTAAAGTATACAGTCAGTACAAAGACTGCACTGAAAGTATACTTTTAGTATACTTCAGTACACTTCGAATGTACTGATTTTGAACGACTTTTCGCTAAGGGTTACTCAACGTGTAAATTTACGGTAATTTATGTAAGTAGCGTGTTTTTTTACCCCAAATATTCACCAAACAAACGGGACTTGCTAACAGTGTACAAGCGGAGAATGACCAACTCGAGCCAGAGAATGACCAACTCGAGCGCGGAGGAACAGGGCAACAAATCACGATTTATCTTGCGGGAATGCGGTTCCAACTTTTAACGATGAAGTACTAAAAGGAATCTTTTGCTAATGTGTTTTCAACTGGCTCACGTCCGGATCCCGGGCCGCAGAGCGTCAGGCAATCTGACCGCTTAATGACTCGACCTCACGTCGCCCGACTTGCTTAAATCCACACGAAGGAGAACTCCGCGGACGGAGCTCGTGACGTCAAGAACCCGGGAAACTCCATCCTCGGTTCCGCCACCCACCTGCACAGCTCTCGTGCTGACAGTACGAAGCCTCCGCGCCTCCCCCACGGAGGAGAACGGCGCCGCGAGAAGTCAAAAAGGGACGACGTATGTCTCACGTGATGCGCGCTCCGCGGAGGAAAGGGGCGGATTTCTCCTTCGTGTGGATACCCCATTATGGTTCAAGAATAACAATTCAGTAGCAGATGGTGTAGCGCTTGGAATCCAACACCCGAGTTTCTTCGCGCGCTTCCGACTCGGGATACACAGGGAGAATAAACAAAACAAGGGATTTCAAGGCCGACCAAGCTAAACGCGCTCACTGTTTCATTGTCGCCAATCGAGTCGATAAAAATCGAAACCAAAACTAAATACACTTCTTTTTTTTTTTCTTTTGGCGCACGTGGCGCGATTTGGTGCATAATGGCGCGAGGTATTGGCTGTGGCGCAGCTTCCACGAAATGGCGCAGGATGGCGCAGACAAATGTGTCTGGATCAAAATGGCGCAAATGGCGCAGCCGGAATTCCACCCCTCTTTCGCTGAGCGAAACGGCACGTGAATTTTCATTGGCTGTGCGAAAAGGCACGTAAATTCCCGCTGGTTGAGCAAAACGGTACTTGAATTCCCATTGGCTGCAAATCGGACGCGCCTCAGAAAAAAAAAAAAAAACACAAAAGAGAGTAGTAGAACGCAGATGCCTGGTCACGGAAGCCGGCGAGGCGCTCAAGGTCAAAGCGGACGCACCTCAGAAATAAAAAAAATAAAAAAAATAAGAGGCGTTATCAAGCGGCTCCGGTGCAGCGTGAGAGTTGGCTACTGCGCAACGGAGGCGCACAGCTGGGCACGCGGCGGCGCCAGTACGTCTGCCGCGACTATGACGCCACTCCTCTGGAATGCGCAAACCGGCGAGGCGCGCGCGGCGGCGGCTCCGGCGCGCCAGCTGTGTGCCGTGTGACGTCACTGCTCCTCGCACATGCGAGGCACGGCTCTCCAGGAGCCACACGAAACTGGTCAACCTCGGCCAGTGTAGCCCACGCAACAAAACTAAAAGAAAAGCACAGCAACGCAGATGCATCGTCAACAAAGCCGTGGAGCCGGCGGGAGTGCCGCGCCTGCGGAGTGGAAAAGTGCGATGTCACCACCGGAACGCCGTGTGAAAAAGGAAGACGTACGCGCTGCGTGTAGGAATGCTTTCGCATTCGTACACGTAAGCAGTCTTACGTGTCTTCGTTTAATTTTTTCCTCTGTTTCGTAAGCATTTGGCAGCTGACCAAGTCTCTTTGAAGCGTCTCCTACTTTCTCGAGCGTCTCGGCGTCCTCTCTTGTGCCTCTTGTCTTTGTCGTCCCGAACGTTCTTGCCAGCTAATCAACTTCCATTGTGGCACGAAATGCTCGCGACGCGACACTCGGAAATCTTAGATTCGCTTCCGCAAGAATGCAATACACCGATCTCACTAAGAATTCCGCGCATGCGTGACGCCGCCATAACTGTAGTTCCCAGATGACAGACGCTGGTGCACAAGATAGCTCGTGCCGTCTCGTGCTCGGCTCGCGCAGGGTTCCAGAGGGGTTGTCGCGCGTGCAGCCGGCAGCGGCGGCGTAACGAAACCAACTGGTAAGATCGGCCTATTCCGCATTAAAAGGGCGATAAACAGAGCAGTGGTTCTTAAATGGGGGTCTGCGAAGACATTTTGGGGGTCCGCAAAGCCCTCTCTGCGTCATTAATCAAGCCCGCAATAAAATATATATATACATATATATACTTTGTTTTGTTTTTTTTTGTTTTTTTTTTTGCCGCGAGTGCAGCTGACTAAATAGGCAGCGCGCCCGTGGCATAACGGTTATCGCGCTTGCCTTCCCACCAGAAGGCCAGGGCTCGATTCCTTGCCGCGGCTACACATTTTTGTTGACACTGCAATGTGATGTTCTGGTAAATTCGAGAACCGTCTAGGCTGATTCGAGATTAGAATGTTCTACACGCCGAACCTTCTACGCCGAATGCTCCAGAATCCCACGCGTGTACAAAAGCGGCTCCGCGTGGCAAGCCGGGGTCAGTTTCGCCCCAGCGTTCGACTCTGCTGTCACGCCGACTTCAACGCCCGCGAAGCTCTGCTTTCTTCTGTTTCCTTTACATTATTGGGCACAAGTTCGCCCCATTAAACGTTTTGTTTCTTCAGTTATTTTCGCCTCATCAATTGTCATTCGTGACAATATATATATATATATATATATATATATATATATATATATATATATATATATATATATATATATATATATATATATATATCAGATTGAGGAGAAACGTTTTAATATTCGAGTAATTATTCTCGTATCCATATCGATGTGAGAAGCCTACTTTATACACGCCTTAGCTATATCTATCAATTAAATCATTATCATAATTCAACTACTATTGGCAACTCCAGCGAAATCGACGCCGCGCAGCGGCAACGTCGAGAAGCCCAAGAGAGGAGGTTGTTTCGACTCTGTCGACTGCTATCGCTGCATCGTTCTCGTAGGCAGCATAGAAACAAATATCGTTTCCAGTAATTATTTTTATGCTTTCGCCGTGTCATTCCTAGGCACTGAGCAGAAAAAGGTTTTTACCGTCGAAAAATCGCTTTGCCTTCATATGTAACCCCGATCTTACGCTGTAGTGCAAGAAATTGTGTGTGGTCCGTACGCTGAACGACGAACGACTGAATATGTGTTTTTTTTCAACATTGTAACCCCCCTGCTGTAAGGCCCTCGGGCACTGCGGGGTAATCTCTGAATAAATAAAGTATAAAAAAACAACCTCCTTTCGTCCGCCATTTTGCCTGACCAGAGCGTCGCCTATAGTTCGCTGGAGTCGCGAATACCTTTCCCTTGACCCCACCACGACCGGGGTCCTCCATCACCTCCACCGATCCACAAGGGGTCCGACAAACATCAATGGTTGAGAACCACTGAAATAGAGTAAACAATAAAAAGAAAAGCAGCAAGGCTCACTGTCGCCACGGGTGGAGGGTCCTGTCGCGGTGGCAGTCGAGCACCCAGTCCTTGGTGACGATGCGACCCCCGGCGGCGTTCACCTGCCCGTACTTGGGCGTGTTCAGGAAGGCGCACCTGCAAAAGCCGAGCACGCGTCACAAGAGGGAAGGAGCAAAGGGCTCTACCAGTTACAACCTCGGTGCATCCCTTATACACGACTCGCCAGTGACGTCACCGCCTGGGGGATCGGTGGCCGAGTGGGCTTAAGCGCACAGCCAGCTCAACCAGCACCTCCTAGACAGCTTTAAAGCCTGCGAGTTACGTCACATGACGTCGCGTCCGGGAGGCCGGCACGGGCGCTGATTGGATGCGAGTGCCGCGTCAGCGTTAGCGTGGGGCTCGTTTCCTATCATAGTCCCACGCGAACGCTGACGCGGCACTCGCATACAACCAGTGCCCATGCCGGCCTCCCGGACGTGACGTCATGTGACGTAACGCGCAGGCTTTAAAGCTATGTAGGAGGTGCTGGCTCGACGTAGAGCCAGCACCTCCTAGACGCGAGTAGCGCGAGCTTCCGCTCGGCGTAGAGCGAAAGCTCGCGCTACAGAACCCAGGGATCCTGGGTTCAAGCACCCCTACCCGTTTCGATCTGGATGAGCATCGCACCGGCGTGCGGTCGTGTATCACTACTGCATTAGCGCGTTAAAGACCCCAGGTTAGCAGTCGTACAGCACTGGCAAAATTGCTCATCTACAGTGTAAACCAGCGTCAACCCATCCTGGCAGACCGACCTTATGCTGTATAAACACTAAAACGTCCAATTTGACTTTTTGACGTCATCGCCTCATGCTGGTGGTCGTTCCCACGGGTCCTTGCCGAGAAATGAAACAAATTCGATGGTCTCCCTATAAGTAGACCGAAGGCTATACAGTATTGGCGAGATCAAATTCATGCACCATCTATGACAAACGGTCGCTCACACATCGTCAAAATTACATAAAGCAAGCGGTGAAAGATGAGCAAAATAGACGCTGATCGGGAGTGTTCAAGGGCTAGCCGATAGATGGCGCTAATCGCCATCTATGGGCTAGAATAAAAGATTATGTTCATTTTAATAAACCACTGGTCACGCGCAGTCTCGATAAGGAGGTGGCGCCATCTATCAATACGATCGCCAAATCCGCCCCGCTACTCGACTTCGTTTCGTGTCTGCGTCGCCGCCCGCAGTTTACCCTGGCAAGTTTCTTGGCCTTATTTCTTAAAGAGGTATGCTTTGTAATTTTGCCAGAAAAAACCGGCCTGTGAAATGAACCTTTGACGAAAAGTTAAGACTGCTACGTGTAGACGTCGATTTTTAAGGTCTATTTTATATCGAGCCTGGTGACTTGGGACAGCCTACACATCAACTTCATATTGATGCAAGTGACTACAGCACCTGATATATCTCGAAGAAAGAGTTCGCCACAACCGATAGCATAGCCTACCAACCAGTCAATCAGCGAACGTTGGTAATATGTAATACCCGGGCACACTCGAAAACGTCAACATTAACGGTCTACTAAAATCTAATATTGCGCTGGTCTGCTGTCAACAGATCGCATGTTGGATGTGAACCATTGTATCACTTATGCAGCCTATTTGTTAATTTATTATGCATGTGTTATAACGCATGTGTTATAACTTATATCTCATATATTTGTCAAGCGATTGGGTATTTACGCCTTTACCTTTATTTTATTTACCTTTTATCTTTATTTACCTTTAGTCCCAGAAGCCTAAATTCAAAAGCGCAACGTTTAGACCCAGGGGTCCAAGTGCAAGGGCCGAACAGTTAGTCCTCGGGGTTCATTTGAAACGGTGTAACAGTTAGTCCCAGGAGTCCAAGCGCAAGGGTCTAACAGTTCGTCTTCGAGGTTCAATTGAAACGGTGTAACAGTTGGTCCCAAAGGACCAAGTGTAAGGGCCTAACAACTAGTCCTCGAGGTGTAACTCAAAGGGTGCAACAGTTAGTCCCAACAGTGCTAATGCGAGGGACTAACTGACGGGGCGCAACAGTTGCTCCCGTTATAGTTGCTCCCCTAGGGGACTAATGGTGGTGGCAGCGCATTTGGTCCTCCGAGGGACTAAGTCGCGCTCCCTTTTTTCTTAGAGTGTATATGAAGGACAGGTGCAAGGAGGAAGTCGGTGGTGGCAGGATGAGGACAAATTTGAAAGATCAGATTCACATAAAAGTAGATAGCGACAAGTTCTATCAAGTTAAGGGTTCTTCGGTGCCTATATCTGGCTCCTGGCCAGAGTTAATGGCCTCCTGTTGTATTGTACCGGAAAATGAGCCGACAGTGATTAAGCTAGTCACCGTGTGTGACGTACAGTCGGGAGCAAAAGTTTGTGGGGCACGGGAGCGCGTGCCGAAATGCATCGCCGCGCCGTCCGGCGGCGCGCCGCCACATTAAGGAGCCGCGCTTTGCGCATGAGCGCCATTCGTGCTCGCCATCATGTCACTTTCGCTCGTTTCTTTCCGACATACTCCTGATAACAAAAGTCGGCGCCAGGGGTGCGCGTTAGCGCTTCGCTGGCTGTCATGCTGCGCGTCTGCTTCAGCCGCCTCGGCCGCCGCGATTTGTAACGGAGCACGCGGGGTGGGGTAACCAGGCGCTTCGTCACCCAGCGCGACTGCTGAGGCAGCTGAAGAGAACGCAAGGCATGACAGCTAGCGAAACGGCAACTTGCGCACCTGTCGCCGACTCCGGTTATCAGGAATGAGTCGCACAGAGACGAGCGAAAGAGACATGACTGCCTGCGTGAAGGGCGCGCATGCGCAAAGCGCGACTTTTTAATGCGGCGACGCGCCGTTGCACGGCGCGGCGATGCATTTCGGCACGCGCTGCCGTGCCCCGCAAACTTTTGCTCCCGACTGTACATCTTTGATTCTATCTCAACTTCTTCCTCTTTTCAAATCACAGCACATCCAGTCCTCCCTTCTTCTTCCTCAGTCAAAACGACCATACTCCCCCACAAGGTAAAATTATTTGTTACGGAGAGCAACTATCTGGTGGCCGCTTATTTCTCTTAGGCATGAACCGTATGGATGCTTCAGCTTCCGGTATAATTGGTGTTGCAGCGGGAAATGTTGGTGCAACAGCCCTTCTTAGCTTAGAAGCGTTCCAGCAGTATCCCTCTTCTGTTAGAAAGGTTGCAGGTACGGGGAACTCTTTGATCCTCACTGCAGAACTGAACGATGAACAACCTTGTGTTGCGTGTCCTGGAACTCAGACACGTATGCAGTCTCCTCCTCTGAACTTTGGATTATCTACTGCTCGGCGTTGGTCAGCGTTGTTTTTGAAGTTATTCTGATATTTCTTCACCCTGTCACGAAGGTCATTTATCGTGCTCCTAACATCTTCTGAAATATCTGGATGTGAAAGCCCCACGATGTCCAGTCTCGTTCACATTGTTGTAGCTGCTTGCTGTGTACACCGATAAACTCCAAAAAGTCTACTAGATCAGTCTGGATGTTGCCTTTCTCCAACAAGATGCTTTGTATGTAGTCTTTTAACACCTTATTGAAACGCTCTATACTTGACCATTCACCTGGGGGTAGTATAGCTAGACGATTTCGAGTGTATGATTCCTCTGCCTTGCAGAACGTTTTTGAACTGCAAGGACATGAACTGTGAACCGTGGTCGGACACAATTACTTCGGGTAGCCTTCCCTAGTGAAGATTCTTTGTAGGAAGCTTATCACAGCATATGTCGTTGGATGTGTACAGAATCCGACCTCCGGCCACTTGCTGAAGCAATCGACAGCGGTGATGGCGTATCGGCAGCTTCCTGGGAAACTTGTAAATGGTCCGACGAAGTCAATTCGGATCTGCTTCCATGCACTTGTGGGAAAAAGTACTGGCTGCATCGAAGCAGGTGCTGTTTTTACGGTCTTGTCATGATGTTGGCAGACCATGCAGCTAGTGGTGTAGTCATTGACGTCAGCGTCCATTTTCGGCTACCAGTAGTAGTCTCGCAGTCTCTGTTTCGTTAATCCTCTCCCAGGATGAGATTCGTGCGCGATGTATATGATCCGACGACGAAGTGTGGTCAGTGGGACGATCTTCTGATTATGTAAATCCAGGCCTTGCACCATAGAGAGCCAGTCCTTAAGTTTGGAGATTGGTAGCAAGGTGGATTGCGCCTGTAACTCAGAAGGGTTTGAAGAAGTGATGACATCACCCATTTTTGTTAGTGTCACATCTTTCAAAGTCTCTTGCTGAAGCTCATCCAGGGCGACGCTTCGCAGGTGGGCTCGAACAGCGCATATTATTTCGGCATCCTCTGCATCGCTTGGCCTGTCTTGTTTGGTGACAACCGGAAGCCCCGAAAGTGCATCCGCAATCACTTTCTTTTCGCCCCGCGGGGACTGCACTTCGTAGTTAAACTGAACTGCAGTAGCCTTGCAGACCAGTGGGCGATGCGCATGGGTTGCCTTCCCGATCCTGGTGTGGCAAATAATGTCACAAGGGCCTGGTGATCCGTACTTATTATGAAACGTCCCTTACAAAACTGATCAATGAGCCTTATATGAGCTTCTAATGATTTTTATTGAGTACATTGAAATTCAATATACACTCAATGCCTAATGAGTTTGATCATAAGAACCCAATATATATTCTCCGAATTCACACATTCGGAAGGCATTTGAGTTTGGTCATAATAAACTCAGTATCGATTGTATTGAATTTACTCATTAGGAATGCCATTTACTTTGGTCATCAAAAATTCAATATCGATTATACTGAATTCACTCATTAGGAGTGAATGTGAGGTTGGTCATTAAGTGAATCAATTATGTATATTTATAATTTACCCATCAAGAATGCGATAGAGTTTGCTCATTATGAACTCAGTATCCATTCATTTGAATTTCCTCATTAGATATGCCAACGAGTGTGGATTCAGCGACTGCACCGAATGATCATTCCTAATCCTTGCACCAATATGTTTATTGTTTTGATTTTCTAAGGGATAGGGCCTAATGACGTCGAAACACTGTTTATCAGTTATCGGACTTCCGAGGAGGGGATAGCATACTGGGAACCCTAATAAATGCTAAGGTGGTCACCGGCCACATGACGACTTTTCAT